GTCCGAAGACATCGCTGTGGTCATGTGGCTGGCATGACTAAATACCAAAGGCGCACGGAACGCAGTTACTTTCCCACCAAAGTGGGAAAGTGGTTCCTATTTTTCTACTTGCATTTTTACATATTTTCGAACTGCTAGGTTGGCAGAAGCTGGGACAAGTAACGGGAGCTTACTCCGTTATGCGGCGCTAGGGATTCGAAATGCCAAACTGCTGACCTTCTGATCGACAAACTCAGCGTCTTAAGTCACTGAGCCACCGCATCTCTTTCTACTTCCACATAACTTGTTTAATATAATTCTTTTCCAGTTCATCATTCCTGCCCCCATTTGGCTGAAGTGTAAGTTTGCCTGCTGATCATCAGTATCATCATCATCATCGCCTTTAAAGTTCAGTATGTAAAAATGTATTTATGCATCTAAGGGTACTGTAATTAATAGTATTTAAAATGTTTTTTTGTTGACTTTTCTCAAATGCTCAGTGTACAGTAATTGATAACCATGCAGAGGGCAGTTTTTTCTCTTTGCTTATCTAAAGCTTTGAGAAACAAGTTGAAGTTGTTACTAAAGATCAATAGGTGAAAGACACAGACATAATTTTTGAAAAGTATCAATTCATAGTCATTTCAACACCAAGAATGAGAGATTCCTTGTTAATAACTTCCTGATTTGTCTAAAGCAGGATAGAAATCACGTAGCCTTCCATGTTGTTACATTTAATCAAACTTCAAATTGCAATATGTTTTATAGTTAATCTTATGAAATGATAGGTTTTCCTTCCTTTTTAAGATACTTAGTTAAAGAACATTGCAAAAGTATTCTGTGCAAGTGCTTCTAACAAAACCATTTTTGATTTTGATGAAGTGCTTGTAAATGACTCATGAGTTTATGAGGTTCGTTTTCTTTTGCAATAGCTTTTATTAATTGTATAAGCAAAATTGCCATATTGTTAATACCACAGCCCTGCATACCTGACTCGCTGTAGGTCGTTTCTTTGGATCCCAGTTTAACATTTCATTCATGAGAAACAATGCCTCACTGCTGGCATTTGGAATGAGAGTCTTTAGATTTATTGAAACACACTGAGGGAATCGGAAATTCATTGCAGCAGCAAGCTGGTAACCTTCTGGCCAATCACTCTGTAAAGTAGGATAAGAAGAGTAGCCTTTAAAACTACAATAAGTCATTTTTATTATTGATTGTCGAATGCCTGCAACGATTATTTTTTGTTAATTTGTTTAACCAAAACCCAGACCGGTTCACAGGCAGTTCTCAAGTACCGATTGCAATTGCAACTGGCAACTCTTGTCACTTAAGTGACATGATCACAAAATGTAATGATATATGAGAATGACCTTGAGGGACAAGGGCAAAATATGTTGCTTAGGAAACTGTTGTAGCCCAGCAGGAGCCGTTGGAGCTGCCACCAGACTCCGACAGTGAGGGGCCCTATGACTTGGCTCTGGAAGATGTGGAGGATCCTGGACAGGGTTCCGACTCCGAGCAGGGCGCAGAGAGGCTGGTTGGCCACCAGGAGGC